ATTATGGTTGCTGTCGTTACAATTGTTGTTGTCGTTGTCAGAGTCAGATATGAGTATTAATGAGGTATTTAATCGCCCTAATGGTCACATTCCATTGGCAGGATGGATGTGACATCACACTGCAGTGGCTCTGACATCACAGAGGGCGGAGCCCATAAGAAACAAATCCAATCAGAATGCGTCTCCAGCCAACCGACAGCCAATGGGACGCTCCCTCATCATAACTCAGGTGAGACAGAAACCTTTAACTTCCTGTTTGATGATCAGCTGGTTTTGATCACAGGATTTGTCTCTGTGACTGATGACATCATACGAACTGTTGAACTCACCCTGACCTGAGAGCAGTTCAACGGCCTCTGCCTCCACATCTGGACCCACATCCTGTCTGAGGCACAGGAGGATGCTGGGAGACCACTTCCTCCTTCAGGACGTCTCAATCTGTGTTTTTACCTGACAGGCCACACTTCCTGTGACACACACACACACACACACACACACAATTAATACATCACACTTCTATCATTTGATCTTCAACTCTTTTAATGACCTCATCACCTCATTATGTCTTCTTCTCTCTCTGTCTCTCTCTCTCTCTCTCTCCCACCCACCTAGAGCCGGAGGATCTGTCCTAGGTTTCTGCCTTTTAACAGGCAGTGTTTCCTTGCCCTTGTCTCCAAGGTCTTGCTCATGGTGGTACTGTTGGGTCTCTGTAATTAATGTTAAAGAGTTCGGTCTAGACCTGCTCTATTTGAAAAGTGTCCTGAGATAACTTCTGTTATGAATTGGTGCTATACAAATAAAACTTAATTGAATTGAAATTCTTCTGCAACCGTTTACTGGCAGCAACTGGAGACTTCCTCCAACTGTCTGTAGATAAAAACGTCTCATTGTAACCGAAACACGACGATTGTTATTGTCAGCTGATTAAACACTAACGAAAACTAACCAATGGATATTATATTATGTTTCACACTGGAGCTTTAAACACACAGTGTGCCCTTTCTGCCACTAGGGGGTCTCTGACATCCAATCAATAAGAAAATATGAAGTGTGAAGTGGTAAAGCAGCGTGGGATCATGGGAGTTGTTGTCTTCACCACCATTGGCGTCATTGCAGTCAGCTTCTCCCGGTTAGGATTCCTTCAGTGTTCATGGTTCAGGAGGTTTCTACCGGGAGCCCAATGATCCACAGAGGTCTCCTCCTCTCCAACACAAACAGACCCGCTGATTAAAACCACTAAACACACTGAATAAAGCAGTTCCACCTTAAACACACTGAATAAAGCAGTTCCACCTTAACAATCACTGCTTCTCCCACGCTGTTGGACAGACAAAGGACGTCCCGGAGGGGCTGCGAGCCGAGCTGCTGCTAACGTTAGCTCAGCTTGTTTCTCTGATAACTTAAGATCCAGACGTCCGATGACTAAAATCCTTCATCCGGTTCAAATCTAGAGTTAAAAAGCACCAAGATCTAAACAGTGGATGGTAAACAGTCAGTGTGTGACAGCTTCTGATTATTGATTATTGATTGAATCAACTCCATATAGAACACAGCTCTAGAGTTTATACACTGTTTAATTAAATGTTACAGTTTAGAGTTAAAATATTGTTACAATTCATCACATTTAAGTGCTAATTCCAAGATGGCCGCACTGTTCTGACATTTAAAATCCTCTCCCTGCAGGGGAGGCTCCTCCCCCTCTCTCTGATACGTCGGAGGATGGTGACAGTGGTGACGACTCTTTAACGGACAGCTCCTCCACCAATGACGTCTGTCGACTCCTCCCCACCCAGCCCACCTCCTCTGCACTCCGAAAACAGAAAGGTAGCTGATGAACACCTGAGTCTGACATCACCCGTCTGACATCGTCTCTGATGTCATCTCTCTGTCTTTCAGGTGTGGATAGCTCATCAGCATCTCCTTCTCCTCCTATCTGTACTCCTCCATCTTCATCCTTCACCACTCCTCCTCCTCCTCTTCGTCCATCTCGGTCATCCACCTGTAACAGACAGAGCTGCAGCCTTCCTCACCGTCACCATCAGCACAGCACCTATCAGAAGCGTCTGTCCTCCACTAAAAGTAGTGCCTCCTTAAAAACAGACGCCGCCCACATTAAGGAGGTCGCAGGAGACGGTGAGACAGTCGTTCAGTGTCTGAAAATGTAACATTTGTCCTGAGGGAGGCGCTAGAGGAGAGGTTTTATCCTCTGTAACCAGAATAAGATCACATAAATATAAAAGTATGTCGTCAGCATATTGGCAGATGTTACAGTTTATGAAGGTAGTCTGAGTCTGGTAAAGTTTTTGATTTGTGTTTTGGAGGTGGTTGAAGTGTTTCAATGAAACAGAAAGACGAAAGAGGATAGTGGGCATCATGGTGGTGATGTATAACTAACCAACGCTCATAGAAACATTATATAACACTATAAACAATTACACTCTCACTCAGTGCTTCAGCATGACTTCGACAGTAGATTCAGAGCTTGTGAGTCTGATTTTGG